CCCCAAACAACTAGGCTAAGCTTCGTTGTGGGGGGGGGGGGGCAGGGGAGTAGTGAAGGAAGATATGCATAGCAACATGTGGGGGGACGGGTAGGATGCAAGGAGCCCGGCCGGAAAATACATCGCAAAGAAGTGAGAGTTTTTCCGTTTTTTCTCGCTCCTCCCCCCCCCCCCAAAAGAACACCAGCCCATGGCGAGGCCTCATCCGGAGAGGCTCTTGTGGCTGGGTCTCGCACATTTTGACTTTCTCAAGACATGGCGGCCGGCACCAATGACGCAAGGTCGAGGGGGATCGACCGGGCGCGCTGTCCGTGAGGTTGTAGGTCCTTACAAAGCACGACGCTAGTTAGATTGTAACTGACCCGATGTCTTTCATGGATGGCAGCCCTTTGTCAACGAAACACGATTCGGGGCGCAACACGCACGCACCCAAAATCGCAGGGAGGGGCGGGAGGGGGGTCGCAAGATGTGTGATGTCCCGTCAACATGAACATTTCTCCTGCCTAAACCGTGTGCTTTTCGGCCCGTGGGCGTCCTTGTCTACTTGCCCTACCCCCCGGCCAAAAGGTTTCTGATGAGGAAGCATGCCTGACAACCCACCCACATCTCCAACCTCGCGGTGTTATCCGGACGGGGTACATGTACGCTCGCTGCGGCAATCCTACCAACACTAATAACGGTGCGACCTGGGGACGGACGTGGATCTTATCTGCTTCTGCTTCTGCTGCAATGCCGCATTCCTTCATTTCTACCAAATTGTTCACGGGCCCTACCGAGGAGCATGCCGCGTGCGTGGTCTGCTGCGACGGCCATCAAGGCGGAAAGGTCATGCTTGGTTGACCCCCCAACTCCCCATAAATAGGCCCTGTTCGAGTCATGAGCCCCCACCCTCTCAACAAATAACATCGACACCAAGGGGGGGTTGGTTTTGGACCCAGTAATTTTTTTCCAACCGAAAAGGAGGATACAGCGCAAAGGAGAAAGCAGACGTCCAAGCGATGCAGCACGTGCTTCGGAAAGCGAAAAGAACGCAAAAGAGCGATAAATCACGCATCCACTACTCGGCCCAGCTTCTGCACTCGGTTGAGCAGCAGATCCCCCTGCTTTATGCACGCCTGGTACTGCGCGTTCTTCGAGTCGGGGCGATTGGTCTCCACAACGCCCCCCACCTGATTTTGGGGGGGGACACAACAAGGAGAACATCATAGAGGAAGCGGCACAAGGCGATTACGCACGTATTGTACTACGCACGGCAGTAAAAGGTCGTGTATTTAGGCCTCCTGCTTAGCTTGCAACCCGCTCAGGCAAACGGCTTCTTCAGGAAAATCGACAACTACCAAGCCCAACACACAAGGTGCGGCCTTCCTGCTCTCGCCTAACTCACCTTGTCGATCTTAGCGTTGAGTCTGCCCGCCGCGATGAACCTCGACAGCTCCTTGTCTAGGAACGGCTCCCCCACTCCGAACGCCGTCGCCATCGTGCCAAGCACCACCGACTTGTACGCGTCCAAGAACTGTTACATATCGTCGTCGTTAAAAGCGAATGAACCACCGGTGGCGTAAGCAGGGGTGTTAACACCTGATCGGTTTCGCTCTGAGCCGAGTTACGACTAGATGTGCGTTCTGCAAGAATTCCTGCTGGACGCTCTTTTCAGCCCACCTGCGTGAACTATGTCGGACTCCTCCCCCCCTCCCCCCCCCCCCCCCCCGAGGCCATGTTTTCAAGAAATCGTGAGTCATAGGTACGGAAACCTACTGGGGCGGTGGCGCTAGCCGCCGCACAATGTTCGTCCCTTATCGTGGCACGGCCATACATGCCATGTTGTACCGCTTCATCTTTTCGTCCGCTAAGGCTCTTCACGGTACCCGGCTCCCAAGGTGGATGTATATGACTTGGATTCAACACAAAAACTTCGAGTGTTCATTGGTAAGCCGGTTGCGCAAAGCGTTGGATGCGGCTTCAAGAAACACAGAGAGGCAACACTCACGAGAGCAAGACAAAAAGAGAGAGAAATAGATAGAAAGAGAGAAAAAAAACACACAAAAAACACCACAAGGACCCACGCAGAGCTACACAAAAACACCGAGTCTATCTATCCCCACGTTACTTTCGTTGGCCAGACGATCAGCCGGGTTGATTGTAAAATCAAACAACACATCATGTACACACTTAACGTTTGCCTTCATCTGTTACCGTTTTCGTCTTCAACCCAGAGAAAAGCCCATTTAGCCTCCCTCTTTCGATACCCACCCTCAAGGGACACCCGATCATGCCTGGCCTCTAGAAGCGTTTTCCGTGTCAAAGCCGCACCGAGACTTGACATCCTCCCATTGGTCAGCCGGCTAAACAGCGCCGTCGATGCAAACCAAACCACAACCACGGGATCACCTGAGTGTATGCCAGGATGCGCAGCTCCCGCACTAGGTACGTCGAGTGGGTGGCGAAGTACCGGTCGTTCTCCAGCTGCCCATTGAGCTCCACGATGGCCATCATGAAGTCCCGGTATCGGCAGTCGTAGAGGCTGTTGACCAACGCAGAAATGTTGGGGATCTCGTTGATCACCGCCAGCACCTTGGTCGAGATCGGATCGAACAACGAAGAACGACACGAAAATGTTTCCCGAAATACGTGACAAAAAAACTTTAGGAGAAAATATGGTATCATGATCTTGGCGCCCACAACATGGAATGAAAGGGGCAAATAAAAGAACAAGTTATAAATACTAAGAACGGCCGAGAAAAAAGCTTGTAAATTGGGGGAGATGCAAGCAGGGGGGCATCGGGAACTACTGCTTATAGACCTGAAACTAGAGTCGAAACGTCACCAAACAACAACGACGGCGACGTGCCTTTGACCAATCACACTACGCAAACGATAACCACTTGCAGAAACTGAAACTACAGTTGCATCGTGCAAAGAAGCGGCAAGGGGTCAAGCTTCGCTCAAACCCCTGTCACGCCAGTCAACGACCAAACCCTGGTGGGGGTGGGGATAAGACGGGGCGAGGGTGAGAAAAACAAAAAGCAAAACACACACCTCCGGTCCGTCCACTATCTTCTTCTTGAGGGTGGTTCGCGGCAGGGTCAAGATGTTCGTCACCACCGTGTACAGGATGAAATCGTTGTAGCTGCACAGCTCCGTGCAGGTGAAGGTGGACACGCACTCCAGGAGCAGCGTGGCCGCGCCCTTGATGTCTCGGGACGTGATGAGGTGGAGCGCCTCGTACACCTTCCCCGCAAAACGAAAACGAAAAATAAAATAAAACAAAAGGCAGGGGAGGGGCAGAAAGAAGGTCACAAAAAAAAAGACAAGCAGAAAGAAGAAAAATCTAGTTTCCCGCACAGCCGAAAAAACGAGAAAAAATGACAACACAAAAACAGACAGAGGCTGAAAGAAGAGAGGCGTCGACCAGAGAGGGTGAGTTACAGCGCTGGCGGGGAAACACGAAACACACGCTCTATAACAGGGGGACATCCGGCATTGTTCAGATTATGGCAGCTCGGCACTACATTGCGGGCACCCGGCACTATTGAGGACCTGCGGACTTCACTCAATGTGGTAGTCGCTTGTGCGAACGTCGTAGACGGACCCTCGGGGGCTCCGTGGTATGGATACATTTTAGGATATGCATCTATTGTTTGGATGAAATACGGGATCCATGGTCTTGTAGGGGCTCTCCTTTGTCACTATCTCCTCTGTTTCTAACGTGGAATACAAGACTGTCACTGGGTGTGGAATCCTGATGGATATGGATCAATTGCCGTTCCTGGCAAGGTCTACAGCCCCCCCCCATTTCCTGCTACGCCATCCACACGGCACGAAACCTCCGAACGGGTACACTTCCCGCTACATACCATACTTGAAAGTAGACGGTAATAAACAACCTCGAGGCGCAAAAAAACGTTCCGGCAGTAATTACGTGGAATAAATAGCCCCTTGTGCCTGGTGTAGAGCGGTACTATACCTTCAAGCGGTTACGTCGGTCCCAGTCCCCGCCAAGATCGATCATCTTCTTCGCCGCCTCAAGCCCCGCCTTCACCTGAACCAAACACAAAACACGCACGCAAAAACAAAAACAAAAACAAACACAGCAGGCCAAGAGAGAAAGAAACAAGGCAGTGCGTACAATACCGCACGTGAAGGTGGCGGGTGTTAATTCGGGCAAACACCATGGCGTAATTTCGGCCTCGACCGAAACTACACGCTTGAACAGAATAAGCAGAGTAAGCATGGAGGGACACGGTACACGGGCTCTAAGGTGCGGAAAAGACTAACGGTTGTTTGGCGTCTCTCCCTGGGCCTAGCACCTCCCTCACGACAGTTTCTCGGCCACGTAAAGTGACGTCAGTGCAATCCTACGGCGACGAAACATGCAGGCGCAGCCAGATATGAGGGCCACCAGTAAGTCGAGTCCTCCTCAAGAGTAAGGAAAAAATCTCTCTATGAAACCAACAGCACGGGATACATCAACACGGGAAAGAAAGAAAGGGGGGGGGGGGAGGAGGTACTCGAAGTAAAGGGGGGGGGAGTTAGGTACGAAAAAAGGGAGCGGGCGGTGTCACGCTACGCCAGGGGGTGGTCACGAAACTAAACACTACCACCTACATACATGCGGGCGGAGCATCACCTGCGGAGTGTCGAGGTGGAAGAAGGCCACCCTGGTCTTGGCCATGATGGCATCGATCTTCTTCCCCGTAAAGATCTTGGCCTTCTCGGTGATGGTTTCGTACGCCGCGTACGCCGACGCCTGTTTGTGCGCGCACGCATGCGTGTGTGTTTTCGTGGTTGTTTTTTGTGGTCGTGGTTGCGGTTGGTGTTGTTGTCGTTGTTGTTGTTGTTAATGTGTTGGTTGTT